TAGTTGTGGTACCTGAATTTGTTGGGAAAACAAAAAAGAGAAAAAAAACTAAAACACATCTGAATACCGAGTTCCTCTTCATTTTTCAAATAGTCGGTGTTTTCAAATTTTTCACTCCCCCTCTCTTCTCTTTACTACTCACCACTACTCCCCACTCCCGCGTTTTTTGTGCCAAGTTTTCTGTTCCATGGGACAAAATTTGAAAAAAGATCATAAATAGTTGAACCACTCTCAATAAGTGTGTTTTGGTGCTGAAGGCCGAAAGAAAAATTCAAGGGTTAGTTGACAAAACCTGGATGTGGGTAAATAATACCAATAAAAGGATCTTTTGGAAAACATTTTGCAACCAGAGTTGATGGGAGGCGGTCACTGCTGAATTATTTTTCTAATTTTGAGCTCAAGGCTTCATTACATTTAAAAAATCTAATTAGATCTGATCATTTGAACACACCGCGCAAGGCACAGCCCTACATGTTTCGGCTGTTTTAGCGACTCTGGTAAAAGTTTTTGATTTAAAACAGATGATAAAACTTCGAAACAAAGATGAAAAAGTTTGGAAAATATGTCGACATGTTTTGTTGCTGTTTGAACAACCAAATGTCGTTTCAAACAGTCTTTGGTAAATTGAAATGCAAAAAAATTCAACATTGTTAGACTCTTTTTTCTTCCCTCTGTCATAATAAGCACATGTATTCCTCCGTAATAAGCCACATACAAGCACGGGCGGATCTAGGATTTTCTCGTGGGGGATTTTTTAAAATCTTCGAAATATTTGGCAACCCTTTTTTTAGGTCGACCAAATTGATTTTTCGAGCTCTCTCAAAGCAGAAAAGGTCCAGTTTTGGCCGCATTTTTTGCGTCTCACGCAAAAATTTGAAAAAACAGGGCAAAAATGCGTTTTAAGACACTTTTTGAAAAAAAATTTAGCAAAAAAGCCCGTCTTTTCGGCGCGCGCTCCCGCATCAAAATAGTATATATTGGCGCCAAAGGCGCCTTTAAGAAATTTTTAAGTGCCCTTCAGCTAAAAATTGATATCTCAAAATAGTACAAAGAGAGGACCCTTTGGGTCGGCAGGGGTACGAATCGCGCTGAGCGGGGGGGGGGGGGGCGTCTTCAAATTTGTTTTTTTGAAGTCGAGGAGGCTTTTACAACAAAAATAGGGTTGATCCTTGACATATATGATCGTGCAACACCAAAAGGGGATCCTTTCCAAAATTCTGTAAAGCCAGAGTTGTAATACCGGCAGTCACCCTGTACTATAGGCATGCTACTATAATTTAAGCCTACAAGTCCAATCGTTTTCTTATGTAGCCTAATTTAAAAATATATCGCGAGTTAATTGTCCAAATTGGCCAAAATGGCAATCTTTAAACCCCCATAACTTTAAAAATCTTTTCAAATTTAAGCTCAGGACAACAATACTTTTTGAATGATACAAAAAATTCCGTCAAAAATGGCTAGTTAAAAAGTCGAAACTTGTCTGTGAAAAAAAACCCACCGCGAGCACAAGTATTCCGTTACTTTCGTAGAGAAAGTCGGAACAATAATCGAAACAAATCTAAAGCGACTTCTTTTCAGACTCGTATTTCGTTTGTCGAGTTGCGGACTATCTAACTGGATCTGCGCTTAGAGATGCTATCTGTCTCGTGGATGTTTTCTACGAAACATACCCGACTCGGCTTGTGGCTCCTCTTTCTAATCTGTATTCTGTGCTTTGGAATCTACTGCCAATCAATACCAGACAAACTCCAACCACAACCAGTACTAACTCGCTCATCAAAATTAAGTTGAAATCCTTAGTTTTAATATTCGCAAAGGCAAACTTAATTTCAGGCATTTCGATGTTCGAGTTTTGGCCAAACACTAAAATTATCATTTTAGCACAAAGTTTAAGAGCCACTATCAGTTTTTTTGGAAGAAAGCAGTTTTTAAACGTTCAGGCAAAAAAATGTGTTTTTTTTTTACGGCAAGATTAAAAAAAGTTACGATTGGTCGGCCAACAAATTTCTGAATAGCTCCTGATTTTCTTCAGTTCAATGAACATCTGTTATGTTGAAAGTTTTGATATTATCACATAAACTAAATATATTTCTTAATTTAGTTCAGTTTGAATTAAATTATGAGCGAATTAAATCACCAGATTGTGGGAGCATATCATTACGACTTTTCCAAAGATGTGTCTGCAACTTGTCCAGAGCTTCAAATTTCTCAGAAGGATCAAATAGCGTTTGTCCTATTTTATACTAGACAATCAAATGATTTTTTCATCACCAAAGAAGAATGCCGAAAAAAAAATTTCACGCGGTCCGATTATCCCCATATGAACCAAGCCGACCAGCATTTATTCCGGGAGCACCTGGAAAAGTCACGTGATCTGAACCCAAACTGCATGACCTATGTAGAATGGGGCAGTGGAGGAAGTACTTTGTGGGCGTTGCAGTTCGCTCGGAGGATTCTGTCAATTGAGAACAATCCCGAGTGGTGTCGCAGAATGTCACAAGATCCTCTAGTCCAGTAAGCAAATGAAAGTTTTGTTTCGACCGAAAAATTGGATCCCAAATTACTGTTTCAAAATTAGTTTTCGGACATGTTTTAGTTTTTCGTAACTTCTATCTACCGAAAATCAGATGCCATAAATAATTTTCCGATGGGTTGATAGATCATTCATGTTCATCATAAAACTCTTTCGGTTTATGTTAGATCAATATAATTGAAAAACTGCCGAGTTTCGAGACTTTTGTCGAGTACAACAAGCCAAACATTTTTGCAAATTAGAAAGATCCGCAACTCATTGTATCAGCGGCTGATTCGGGGTTTTCTCGGAAGGGGGATAAAGTTTTGAAATGTGTTTTATAATTTGACCAATTGGAGAGCTTTTTTTGGACCAACAAGGTGCGTTTTTCATAGTGAAATGTGTCCATAAACTTCAGAGTACATTCGCTCCAAATGCACCTTTGGCTTTTTTCGGGTTGGCCGACAAAAAATGGATGTCGTAGAATAGAACCAGAGGGGGCTTTTTTAGATGTGCTCGAATTCCTGACGGGTGGCGTTCAGCCGCAACCTTTAAATCCGCTCCTGGTTCATTTCATTAATTGCTACTGAAAATTGATTTCTTGAAGTTTTTAAGTCTATAGCCTTCTTCAGTTTGATCTAAATTAATTTTTCGTCCCTCAACCACAAAACATAATAAAAAATAAAGGCCAAAACAAGTATTTATAGCATAAATTCTCAACGAGACACTTGCTTTCGCAAGGGTAAAAGTTTGAATGAGGTCCGGACATATGTTGAAAATACAACATGCTTAGTTTGTTCTTTTCTCAACACACAGTTAACAACTGCTAGTCAAGGACTATTTTAAGAAAAAATTGAAATTGATTTCAATGAAAATCAAACTTTTCTTTGTCATTTTATAACGCAAATTTTTTTCACTTCATATTTCAACGTATAAACAATTTTTTTCTGAACGAAAACTTCAAGAACTGTGGTACCACAAAGTAATTATAATTTAAGGATTTTACTTTTTATGGTTTCAGCACGTTCTTTTCTATTTAAAAAAAGATACCACGAGTTCCGTTTATTTTGAACTTGTACTGTTTTACTTAACTATAAAGATACCAACAAATTATTATCCAAAACTATCCCCTAAACGTTTATTGTTAGCACCGCCTCGTTTTACTAGTCAGACCAATATTAGAGAAAAGTAAAAAGTTGATTTCACAAAAACTTCCTTCACCAGTATTCCTACCAATACTTTGAGACCAGGAAAGAATAGAAGAATTAACATCAGTTAATGATTACAAAATTGAAAAAATGTTGAAGTGCCTCTGAGAACTTTTTGAACGTACTATCTTATCTATACTTGATTGGTTAGCCTATTTATCCAGTTAAGCATTGGTTAACACTGTTTATCCCGACAAAAAAGATTATGTATTATCTAGTTAAACATTACTTAATACTGTTTATCTCGACAAAAAGAAAGATTTTGTATTAAACATTAAAACTAAGTTCGAAAAAAAATTCGAAATCTAGTAAGTCACTTATCTTGCATGTTTTTTAAGAAATTCTTTTCTAAAATAAGTATCATCCTCGGAAAATAAGGTTTTGAAACAAAACCTTATTTTTCGTGACTGATACTTATTTTAGAAAAGAAATTCTTTCAAAAACAATGATGGTTTCTTTACGTGTACGCTTTATGATCCAATAATTTTTTCTCAATGCCATAAAACTTTACTACTAAATTGCATGTTTTCGTTTTACTACTTTACAGAGTAACCTCAATAGTTGTAGACATGCAATTAAATGATTGCAGAAAAGTACTGTGGTTGTTTAGCTGTCCTTACTATGTGTTTTTTGAGGCAAACCTCAATTTCAATTTAAAAGTTTTGTTTTAACTGCTGACATCCTAGAGCGGCTTTATTGACAACCTCATTTATTAAGATAACAAGTTGAAACGTTAGTTGTATTAAGTGATGGTAAATTTTGGTGAGAATAGATGAGCTGATTTTTGATTTCAACTGCCAGAAGTTCATGGATTTGTCGATGGGGGAATTTTTAATATTTTATATCCATAGATGTGCTGTTCTCTCTGGACAACTGGTGCTGGCCTGTGTGCAGGGGGGTCCTGTGAAACTGTGGGGCAAGCCAGTAGACGAGTCATCGTATACGTCCGCACCATATATTGACATGCTGCATCACTTCTCTCCCATAGCACCCGACTTTGTTCTCGTCGACGGGAGGTCAATTCAATCAAACAAATATTGACAATCAGTTCATTTGCATTTCGAATACTTTAATTATATATTTTTTCCTGAAACGAGTGAAAACTGAGCACAGGCGCGAAGCTATTTTTGTGAGCAAAAATGTTTCAACAATTTTTCTTAACAGTTTCGCCAATTTAAAAAAAAATAGGGAATATTGAGCATAAAAGCGAAGCTATTATTGTCAGCAAAAGGATAATGTAAGCAAAAGCATAACTTTTCAAAACAGATGCACTCTCTTCTCGATTATTGGGATTGAACTGTTCGTTTCAGATACCGGGTGGCAACAGCACTATCGGCTCTGAGTCACATGAAAGAGGAGAGCTTCCTTTTCGTTCATGACTACAAGCCTCGACGACACGAATACGCCGCACTGTTGAAATTCTTCCACGCCCCTGAAGAAACTAAAAAGAGAAAAGCTATGGGAATACTTTTACAAAAAGCTAACATCAGCCAAGCAATCGACTCGTATCGCCACGAAATGTATTAAAAACCGATCGACCTTTATGTTCTTACACGATGAATTTACTATCCCATTTTTAAATCAATGTTTCACTAGAACAAGTTCCCAAATTAAACCCTCAGTTTGGAAAAGGTCATCTACAGCACATATCAAATTTTATATTTCCATTGATACTTAAGATAACTACTAGAATCAGGGGCGGATCTAGGATTTTCTCGAGGGGGGGGGCGGATTTTCAAAAAAATTTTCGAAATTTTTGACGACCTTTTTTTTTTTTTAGGTCGACCACATTGATTTTTCGAGCTCTCCCAAAGCACGGTTTTGCCCCTATTTTGGCGAAATTTTCTGCGCCGCAGGCAAAATTTTGAAAAAACAGGTCAAAAATGGCGTTTTTAGGCATTTTTTGGAAAATTTTGACCGAAAAATTGCACTTTTTCGGCGCGCGCTCCCCCCTCAAAATTAGTATAAATTGGCGCCAAAGGCGCCTTTAGAAAATTTTTAGGGTCGGTCGGCCAAAAATGGATTTCTTAAAAAGTATCAAATTGTGGTCATGGAAAATTTTTGAGCGATCATTTCGAATTCTTACACCACAAACGTCCTGAAACAATACTATCAATAATAATCAATTGTTGCCCACCAAACGACACACAATCTAAGTGGACTGCACAGACAGCACAAGAAAAATCCGTTATGTGGCTACTAATCCGACAGAATATAAGCAAGCAAACATAAGGCTACAGGCAAACAAATAAAAAGCTTTGTTCCTGATTACATGACACTTGCTTTTGCAAATTTAATCACATAAAACAAGTTAGATTGAAATTCACCTATTCAAACAAAATTTTGAAAAAATGTGACAACTTTAATCTTTCCAACTCTAATTCTTTTTATATCTTGAACAAAAAATCGAGTTCAACAAAATGATACATAGTTTGAGCTGGTTTAAAAATCAAAAATCGGGAAAAATTTTTTTTTAAAATAAACCAAAAATACTTTCTTATTCTCTTCAATGAAAAGTTCTAGTTGTTAAAAATTAGTCCTATGTCAGCTCAAAAAAAATCGAGCTTTCAGTGCATCGGTTTCTAAATCATGCGTTCCTTGAAAACTTGATGTTCTTATTGATACACTATTGAAAGAGTATAATGTTTTTTCTACCTCTCCCTCGTTCCCTTTTTTCCCTTCTCTCTTCTCTCGCTTTCTCCGCTGTCTATATCTCTTTATTTCTCTCTCTCTCTGTCTTTTTTCTCTCTCCTGCTAAATGAACTAAGCCGCTGATAACAAACCTGAAGCTTGTAATTTCGATTTTTTAATTTTTAATTAAAATTAAATTAAGCAAAATTGTACCAAGCAAAATTCAATTTTTTATTTATTAATGAACAATTTTGATGCTACTAGCCAAATTTGGAAAAATTTGATAGAGAAAAAGTTTACTCATTTTGATGAAAAACTTTGGAGAGAACACTTGATTCAAATTTACCGAATACTTGCAAAATTGTTGTTGAAGGGCAAAAAATTCTTCACAAAAATTTCTTTCAAGCATAACAAATGAACTGAAATGAAAACAACAAGAAATCCAAAAAGAAACTGCCAAAAAAACAAAGCGCAGAGAAATGAAGAAAATAAAAAAATCTTCTTCAACCTTTGACATCGATTTAAGTTTGCAAGAGAAAAAAAAACAAAAAGGAAAATTGCGTAGTACAGGCTTAAAAAACCAAACTGCTGTAAATCAAAACAGCCAAAGCAACAATGAAAATTCCGTACAGCAGAAAAAAATAAAACAATGCTACATAAACAAAACTATTTTGAAAAAAAAAAACTAAGTGAACCAAAATTTTCGATAAGTCTCGTTAAAAATAATTAAGGGCCCAGTTAACGCTGGATGTAATTTTTGTTTTTTTTTATTTTTTTTACTGATGCGGGATTAAATTAGTTATTTCCAAATTTAGATTTCGCCCAAAACCTTAGTTGTTTATTCTACTGAAAAAAGTGAAACTAGCGAAAATTTTTGAGAGATTGAAATCATCCTAAAATTATAATTTTTTTCTTTCATTATCTAAAGAATCGCGAGTTCTGTAACAAAAATCTCGCAACAGAGATTTTCGAGTGAACTCTCCCACTCATCTAAGACTTGCTAGGGTAGTTGCCATTAAAAGTCGAAAATTTTCTAAAAAACAATTCAACGTTCAAAAACTGACATTTCGGAACTTTTTTTCTGCAAAAAGGTCACGGCCGCTTAAGCGGAGATAATTCCCGTAATCGGGTTTCACGATTAAACACTTAACCTAAGAATTGGTAGGGCGCCTAATGAGAAAAGTCGAAAAATTCCAAGGCACGTTAATTAAACAAACATTTGACTTTTCCGTGAATCATAGCTTTTTGTGACAACATTTAGGGCGTAGCCATTTATGCAGAAAACATTCACATAACCTGTTATTTCGATTGAACTCAAAAACTCAGATTTGGGAGGGTGGTTTCAGAGAAAATCAATTAAGTACAAGAAACGGTAAAGAAACAAACATTGATTTTTCCGAGGTCCATTACTTATTTGTAAAAACAAGATTTTGGTTGATTTTGCAGGGGAGTTTCACACATTGCATTACTTTGATTGAAGCCAAAAAAGCTCAGATTTGGGAAGGTAGTTTTTGAGAGAATAAAAAACTCGAGAAAACAATAGAACTTTCAATAAATTTTCATACCTTTGGTTCTGCAAAAAGGTGGCGCATAAGCGGATAATAGTCCCAAAACCTGAGTTCTCGGTTGAACACTTGGAAGGGCAGCTTTCGAGAAAAGACAAAATACTTCAAAATAAAGGTAATAAATCAAAAGTTTGGCTTTTCCGAGAATCATAGCATTTTGTGCAAGAACTTGGGGCGTAGCAGTTTATGCAGAAGACATTTAAAAACACTGTTATTTCGATTGAGCACAAAAACTCAGAATTGGGAGAAAATCAAGTTTGCCGAAACTCAGTTCGCCTAAACTCAGTTTTTGAGAAAATCAATAAATTACAAAAAACGGTAAAAACCAAATATTGACTTTTCCGAAGGTCATAACTTATGTGTAAAAAAATTAGGCGTAGTCGATTTAACAAGGGAGTTTCACACAGCCCGTTTTTTTACGGAAGCCAAAATCTCAGATTTGAGAGGGTAGTTTTCGAGAAAAAAAATTCCAAACGGTAAAAAAAATGGAAATTTTATTTTTCCGATGGCCGTAACTTTTTGCATAAGAATTTCGGGCATGGCCTTCTATGCACAGAAGCTGGTAATCAATTAAACTCAAAATCTCAGCTGTGGGCTGGTGGTTTTCGGGAAAACTCAAAAACGGTAAAAGAATCAATTATTTGACTAATCCCAGGGCCAATACTTTTTGTTTAAAAAAATATGAGCGTGGCCGCTTATGCAGGGGAGCTTCCCATATTAGTTTCCTGTTTAACTAAAAAATAATAATTTATTTATTAAATATCAAAAAATATGTACCTCTAGAGCAACTTTCAACTTTTGTAAAAACTGTTCGAATCAAGAATTAAAAACTCATGGTTAGGAAAGAAACTGCATAAAAGCGTGCGTACCAGATAACGAAGTACATTTTGAAAAAAATGTAGCCATTTCTGCAGAAAACATTCACATAACCTGTTATTTCGATTGAACTCAAAAACTCCGATTTGGGAGGGTAGTTTCAGAGAAAATCAAATAAGTACAAGAAACGGTAAAGAAACAAACATTGATTTTTCCGAGGTCCATTACTTATTTGTAAAATTAGATTTTGGTTGATTTTGCAGGGGAGTTTCACACATTGCATTACTTTGATTGAAGCCAAAAAAGCTCAGATTTGGGAAGGTAGTTTTTGAGAGAATAAAAAACTCAAGAAAACAATAGAACTTTCAATAAATTTTCGAAACTTTTGTTCTGCAAAAAGGTGGCGCATAAGCGGATAATAGTCCCAAAACCTGAGTTCTCGGTTGAACACTTAACCTAAGAATTGGAAGGGCAGCTTTCGAGAAAAGACAAAATACTTCAAAATAAAGGTAATAAATCAAAAGTTTGGCTTTTCCGAGAATCATAGCATTTTGTGCAAGAACTTGGGGCGTAGCAGTTTATGCAGAAGACATTTACAAACACTGTTATTTCGATTGAGCACAAAAACTCAGAATTGGGAGAAAATCAAGTTTGCCGAAACTCAGTTCGCCTAAACTCAGTTTTTGAGAAAATCAGTAAATTACAAAAAACGGTAAAAACCAAATATTGACTTTTCCGAAGGTCATAACTTATGTGTAAAAAAATTAGGCGTAGTCGATTTAACAAGGGAGTTTCACACAGCCCGTTTTTTTACGGAAGCCAAAATCTCAGATTTGAGAGGGTAGTTTTCGAGAAAAAAAATTCCAAACGGTAAAAAAAATGGAAATTTATTTTTCCGATGGCCGTAATTTTTTGCATAAGAATTTCGGGCATGGCCTTCTATGCACAGAAGCTGGTAATCAATTAAACTCAAGACCTCAGCTGTGGGCTGGTGGTTTTCGGGAAAACTCAAAAACGGTAAAAGAATCAATTATTTGACTAATCCCAGGGCCAATACTTTTTGTTTAAAAAAATATGAGCGTGGCCGCTTATGCAGGGGAGCTTCCCATATTAGTTTCCTGTTTAACTAAAAAATAATAATTTTTTTATTAAATATCAAAAAATATGTACCTCTAGAGCAACTTTCAATTTTTGTAAAAACTGTTCGAATCAAGAATTAAAAAACTCATGGTTTGGAAAGAAACTGCATAAAAGCGTGCGTACCAGATAACGAAGTACATTTTGAAAAAAATGTAGCCATTTCTGCAGAAAACATTCACATAACCTGTTATTTCGATTGAACTCAAAAACTCCGATTTGAGAGGGTAGTTTCAGAGAAAATCAAATAAGTACAAGAAACGGTAAAGAAACAAACATTGATTTTTCCGAGGTCCATTACTTATTTGTAAAATTAGATTTTGGTTGATTTTGCAGGGGAGTTTCACACATTGCATTACTTTGATTGAAGCCAAAAAAGCTCAGATTTGGGAAGGTAGTTTTTGAGAGAATAAAAAACTCAAGAAAACAATAGAACTTTCAATAAATTTTCGAAACTTTTGTTCTGCAAAAAGGTGGCGCATAAGCGGATAATAGTCCCAAAACCTGAGTTCTCGGTTGAACACTTAACCTAAGAATTGGAAGGGCAGCTTTCGAGAAAAGACAAAATACTTCAAAATAAAGGTAATAAATCAAAAGTTTGGCTTTTCCGAGAATCATAGCATTTTGTGCAAGAACTTGGGTCGTAGCAGTTTATGCAGAAGACATTTACAAACACTGTTATTTCGATTGAGCACAAAAACTCAGAATTGGGAGAAAATCAAGTTTGCCGAAACTCAGTTCGCCTAAACTCAGTTTTTGAGAAAATCAATAAATTACAAAAAACGGTAAAAACCAAATATTGACTTTTCCGAAGGTCATAACTTATGTGTAAAAAAATTAGGCGTAGTCGATTTAACAAGGGAGTTTCACACAGCCCGTTTTTTTACGGAAGCCAAAATCTCAGATTTGAGAGGGTAGTTTTCGAGAAAAAAATTCCAAACGGTAAAAAAAATGGAAATTTATTTTTCCGATGGCCGTAATTTTTTGCATAAGAATTTCGGGCATGGCCTTCTATGCACAGAAGCTGGTAATCAATTAAACTCAAAACCTCAGCTGTGGGATGGTGGTTTTCGGGAAAACTCAAAAAACGGTAAAAGAATCAATTATTTGACTAATCCCAGGGCCAATACTTTTTGTTTAAAAAAATATGAGCGTGGCCGCTTATGCAGGGGAGCTTCCCATATTAGTTTCCTGTTTAACTAAAAAATAATAATTTATTTATTAAATATCAAAAAATATGTACCTCTAGAGCAACTTTCAACTTTTGTAAAAACTGTTCGAATCAAGAATTAAAAAACTCATGGTTTGGAAAGAAACTGCATAAAAGCGTGCGTACCAGATAACGAAGTACATTTTGAAAAAAATGTAGCCATTTCTGCAGAAAACATTCACATAACCTGTTATTTCGATTGAACTCAAAAACTCCGATTTGGGAGGGTAGTTTCAGAGAAAATCAAATAAGTACAAGAAACGGTAAAGAAACAAACATTGATTTTTCCGAGGTCCATTACTTATTTGTAAAATTAGATTTTGGTTGATTTTGCAGGGGAGTTTCACACATTGCATTACTTTGATTGAAACCAAAAAAGCTCAGATTTGGGAAGGCAGTTTTTGAGAGAATAAAAAACTCAAGAAAACAATAGAACTTTCAATAAATTTTCGAAACTTTTGTTCTGCAAAAAGGTCGTGGCGCATAAGCGGATAATAGTCCCAAAACCTGAGTTCTCGGTTGAACACTTAACCTAAGAATTGGAAGGGCAGCTTTCGAGAAAAGACAAAATACTTCAAAATAAAGGTAATAAATCAAAAGTTTGGCTTTTCCGAGAATCATAGCTTTTTGTGCAAGAAATTGGGGCGTAGCAATTTATGCAGAAGACATTTACAAACACTGTTATTTCGATTGAGCACAAAAACTCAGAATTGGGAGAAAGTCAACTTTGCCAAAACTCAGTTCGCCTAAACTCAGTTTTTGAGAAAATCAATAAATTACAAAAAACGGTAAAAACCAAATATTGACTTTTCCGAAGGTCATAACTTTTGTGGAAAAAAATTGGGCGTAGCCGATTTAACAAGGGAGTTTCACACAGCCCGTTTTTTCACGGAAGCCAAAATCTCAGATTTGAGAGGGTAGTTTTCGAGAAAAAAATCCGAACGGTAAAAAAAAATGAAAATTTAATTTTTCCGATGGCGTAACTTTTTGCATAAGAATTTCGGGCATGGCCTTCTATGCACAGAAGCTGGTAATCATTTAAACTCAAAACCTCAGCTGTGGGCTGGTAGTTTTCGGGAAAAGTCAAAAACGGTAAAAGAATCAATTATTTGACTAATCCCAGGGCCAATACTTTTTGTTTTAAAAAATATGAGCGTGGCCGCTTATGCAGGGGAGCTTCCCATATTAGTTTCCTGTTTAACTAAAAAATAATAATTTAATTATTAAATATCAAAAAATATGTACCTCTAGAGCAACTTTCAACTTTTGTAAAAACTGTTCGAATCAAGAATTAAAAAACTCATGGTTTGGAAAGAAACTGCATAAAAGCGTGCGTACCAGATAACGAAGTACATTTTGAAAAAAAAACGTGAAATTAGGACGAAAATTACAAAAATAAATATGTAAACAACGCTTGCTAATCGCAACCGCATTAGGATACAATGCTATTGCCTCATAAGTGACACCAAAAGAGAACTTATATTTGGTGCTCGGGCTAGAAAAAAAACCATCATTATATAAGACTACGCTCAGCTTGAAACTATTTGGCGCATACAACTCGGCACAATTGCATATTGCAATCCCCCGTTTGAAGACTATTGCTCCTCTCATGGGCACGTAGGAGCAAAGGTTATGTCGAATCTGTGATCAGACCTGAAACCAGCAGAGCACAAGTCCTCTTGTTGTTGCAAATCAGAAACATTCATTGCGCTAAGCAACATTTCATACAGATGCAGCAATTTTTTAAAATAGGAGCGTTTTCTAGATTCTAGGCAAAAAAACATGTGCAGAAAATCTAGTCAATTATCTTCGAGCAATCTCATGCAAAAGCAAGTTTTTTTTTCAGAAGCCAATTTGCTTCTCAAGCTGATTGGATGAAAATAGTATGTCTATAATAAATGCCGCATCATGAGCCTAAAATTATTCTAGAATGTTTTGCGGAATCAGCTGATTGTTATTTTTTTTTTGAAAAAGAACCGTAGAAAAAAACGCGAAAAAACAAGTGTTTGAAAAAGTGTTTTAATCAAGTTTTTAATTATCACTTGTTTTTTCTGCCAACCCTGCTACTCACACTAAAAAAAGAAAAAAGAGTAAATTACACGTGTAACTGCGAAACATGGCAATAAGTAAATATCAAATTTGCCTTATCTTAAATTTGACATCAATGAGTAAAGTTTTGCTTCTTTTTGCAATCTAGTTAATACTTCTACCAGCCCTGCAAGAGTTTTTTTCACGTTCAACTTGTATTTTTGCTTTCCAAATGCTTCCAGAGCAGTCCGGATTGCCGGACGTTTCGACGTGACCCAAACTTCGCGATTCACAATTGTAAAATTTTTCAAACTTTCAGACGAAACATTTGACAGCCGAGATTTCACATTGGACGACAGATTTTCTAAGCTGTCCGATTCGGATTCGGTTGTTCTGCGAGAAAAGAGCCAAGACTTCGGGTTAATCGAGGAAAGCGATTTGGTCTGAGATGAGTTTTTGTTTTCAGAGTCGATTAGATGTTCTCTGTTGTAATTTGTTGCAGATGAGTACGTGCAACGCTCAGTCACACACATTGAAGTTCGTTGGTTGAGGTTTTCAGTCACCGTTACGAATAGTTTTCGCTTACGGTCTACGAGGGAATGCTGAAACATTTTGAGTTATTAAATCCAATCAAATTGCAGTTGAAACGAAGGAAAAACATTGCCAACAGACAAAGCTGCTTGAAATTTTTAAAACCCTTTCACCTTCAATAACTTTCATAACATTTCAAAAATAGATATCAATTTGAACCTCTCTAAATACTGCTCATGATTGGCATTTAGATTTAGAAAAAACTAGATCGATAGGAAATTTTTTTATTCCTCTGGAAATTCTGAAAATAACAATTGTGACTTAATTAAGCGCAATAGCAGGTTTTATTCTCTAAAAAACCAGTGTTCAATGTCCATTTTGGACAAAATTTACTTCGATTTTAGGCAAAATTCTCTTGTTATTTACAATGAACAAGAGCAAACGATCAAAACTACCCTCTATGAAAGTATCAGAGTTTGGTTTCACAGACTAACCAATGTAATCCGGGTCTGAAAATGCCAGATTTCCTCATCTGCACTAAGATTTTTTACTTCGCGTGAAAAAGTAGGAAACATCCGAGTTTAGTGAAGTTTTCACATTGATTAAAACCATTTTTCACTGGGAATGTTTCACGTCGCATGAACAATTTTTTTGCTCTGCTTATTCAAGAAAGAATTCACTACGATGCAAAACTTAGTGCAGATAAAGAAAACTGGCCTTTTCAGACTCGGATTACAGTCATTGACACCAAATATTGATAATTTCATAGAGGGTAGCTTTTGCTCATGGTCATTTTCTCTTATTCTATGTAAAAACTTCGCAGAAAATTGAAGAAAATGTTGTCCAAAATGGACATTGAAAACAGTCCTTTTAGAGAATAAAAACCCAACTTTGCGCTTAAATTGGTCCACTGGTGTACATTCCATTTTTGAAACTAGAAGCCATTCACGTTTTTCGTGACACTCCCACTTTTTCTGTTCGATAGTTCAGTTTGACTTAATTTAACAAAGAAAATGAAGTGAACTTAAAAAGAAATCGTAAGTCAAACCGCAAAAAAAATCAAACTTGAGCGTGAGCTAATTTCCTGCAAAAAGATACAAAAAATATCAAGACTTTTATAAGGCAAGTATTAAAAGTAGCATAACATCGGCTAAACTGGTGATCGCCTTAAAATCACTTAAAATTTGATCCACTCATTTTTCTCACTTCGATGACATGTACGAATGATGTATTAGTGATACGTTGGGCCCACTGGGGAACGATGCTCCTTTTAGTGAACATTCTCACAGAGTACAATTGAGCAGGGCGCTCTTCAGAAACACCACCACCACTCCCATCCACGATTGATGAGTCAGCAAGAGGGGGGTTAGTGTTCACAACTGCAGAAGAGGCAGCAGTCCAAGTTCTCTGCAGAGTGTCTTCTGAGGTCACGTGTGGCGAGTATGAGTTGGGGTACCTGGACATCAAACTAATATTAATTATTTTTTTGTTCCGACATCCGACCACTAAGACTTGAATGCTTTTTTTCTCACGCAAAATTGTTGGTAAGGTTTACCAAACAGCATGGTAAGTTAGCCGACAGGCAATGCAACGAAATACTAAAGGTAAAAAATTGTTTGAACAAAAATTATAATATAAAAAAAGTTATTCTTCGGAATTTTCGACCAAAGGTTTGTCTCGAATATGCGGAGAAAAACACTTTCCAGTATTGAATAAAAACTGAAAAAATTATCAAACACTTGAAACACTAACTAAACACTTGATGGGTTTCAAGCCTCATTGTATTATACCATTTAAATCATTATTCCGATGCCAAAAATTCATTTCAAAAAACCTCATTTGGTGTCGAGAGAAACTGGTCTGAAGACCTTTTTCAACCTGACTTTTACCTTAACAGTAAGACCCTATTTTTGGAACAACTTTACTCATTCAGCTGTTTTTTGAAGAATTATTTCATTTTTTTACCGCGGCCAGAACTTTTTGCGCTCTATGCACAGCCACCGGCTACTTTTAGTTTTACAACCATTTAGTGAAAGCGTATTAGTGCTTTTCAGGTGCCTGCAAAGTTGTTATCTGGAAACAACATCCGATTATTTTCTGAAAGAGCAAAGCAAACAAGCTGGCTTTAGAATAAGTACCAAATATTCCCAATTTCAAAATAGCAGTTACAAAATTAAGATGCTTTAATTATTTTAAAGCAGTCTTTAAACAGTGCAACTTTCCAATTGAGTCCTCGATAAAGTATGTACCGCACCTTTGAAAAACAACCTTTCAAAAACTACATGTCAAAAACTACAAGAACATTTTAACGCAAAGCGATGCCTAACTACGCACCACTTGCAATGGATCACAACAGCATGGTAAGTTAGCCGACAGGCAATGCAACGAAATCCTAAAAAAAAATTGTTTGAACAAAATAATAATATAAAAAAATTACTCTTCGGAATTTTCGACCAAAGGTTTGTCTCGAATATGCGGAAAAAAACTCTTTCCAGCATTAAATAAAAATTGAAAAAATTACCAAGCGGTAACAAAGCTATTTTTCGTACAGAAAGCACACACACTTAGACAAATACATTTAACCACGCAAAATTTGACGACTAAAGCGATGTATTATAAACGGATTACGCTTTTTAAGCAAAAACAAATTGAACTTTCCACAAAATGTAGTTGAACGAACAACTAAGAATTAACAAAACAAAACTACTAATAGCACATATACTAAAATGCAGACATGCTAAAAATTGTCTGAGACTGAAGTCTCCGAAAAATTCGACAGTTGAAGAACATAATTCCGTAATCTCTTGGACAAATGTTTATTCAAAAAAGTCTTGGATAACACTTGCTAACCGAAAACTCAAGCAGCTAAATTAGCTCAAATTTGAAAATACACAGTTTAAGGACACAGCCTAAGCCTCAATTTTCAAATACAAGCAAACATATCACAGATAACTCTGAAGAAAGATAGCCTTCCCAGGCTTTCACAGTTCACTTTAAATTTTGACAAAAATTTGATAAAAAATTCAAAAACGAAAAAAACCCACTCTACGCCATCTATAGTGTTTTTTTTAAGAAAAATTTAGAAACATAGCCAACAGACAGTTGAAAAAAGTCAGTGAACGCAAAGACTTCGAAAAACACTTTTTTTAATAAACTCAATTTTCTAAATTCAGCGAAACAAATATATGGCCTAAGGCCAAGAACAATTTATGATTGACACTTCATGATAAAATTAACCCCTTTTGAGAAAACTGGTGTTTCAGATTAAGTTTTTTTCCTTTGGGAAATTTAAAAAATTAATTCCATTTTAGAATCAGATATCAATCACGTTTTTTCGCGCCATTTACGCATTTTTAATTGTAGCGAATTTTGCCACCCTTTCGCAAATTAACTTGAATTGAACTCACAAAACGCACACATATCTAAGGGCATTTATACAAGCATTACTACGTATGAATGGGCTTCCATAGTTATAACAGCACTTTTCACAGAGGCGAAGCGTAGCATAGCATCACCTGCGATACAAAAATGTATGACTATTATTACCAGCAAATAAAACAAATATGAAATTTTTTTTTTAAATCTTCAACACGAAAATTTTTTTTTGTCAAAAAAAACTTTGAAAAAATTGCAAAAAAAACACAAAAATCCCGAAGTAAAATAACCAGCACCATTAGAAACTTTCATTACACCATTAGAAACTTTCATTACACCATTAGAAACTTTCATTACACCATTAGAAACTTGGAAAGAGCTTTCAAAGGGCTAAAAAGAAACCGAACATGTTTGCCGACAAAAATTAGCAGACACGAAACCTATATATTCGAGAAGTTTTCAGTTTCAACAAAAAACAGGTCCCGACTGAATAAAAAAAACTGGGATTTGTCGTCTCAAGCATGGGTGTTACTAATTGCACAGCCCTTATTGCACAGTACACTCCTTGAATTAATAAAATCACAATTTTCAAAAATTTTCAATGGACAGCATGAAAAAAAAATCAAAAAAATAGCGAGAAAATAGGCAAAACATCTTGGATTTCATTTACTTGCCCAATACCGGAATACACTGAAATATTTCTTAATTCGAGTAAAAATTCCCAAATTTTTAGCAAATTTGGTGCCTCGGTAACTGAGTCAACAAAAAAAGCTGGCCGGATTCGAACCATTGACCTTGGTCTTTATGGTCTGGTGTGTTACCTCTTCGCCACATGCGCGAACTAACGTCTGACTTTTGATTTGATTCGAACCAAGGTAAATGATTCTAGTGAAAATTTTTCCTGAAAAGAAAAAATAAAAAATCATCACGATCTATAAGAGTCTGAACTAACTTCATGAACTCTTCGTTCTTTAGCAGTGGCTAAGCTCCATGAGCACCATCAAGCGAACCAGAGAAATTAAACACAAAAAAGTCCAACTCAAATAGGGAAGTTGGATTCGTAGCGTGCTTTGTAAGAAAACAGATTTTTTTAACTGTTGCAAGCCTGTAACAAATATCTACCCATAAACTATGTAACCTCAATTATTGCAATCCCCATGTTTCTAATACAAAAAGGAATAATCTGCCATTTTCCCTGATAGAGAGAGTGGGTTGAATAAGGATACGTAGTCCAAAACAAAGGGACGAAGCCTAGCCTCAATCATTGCCTCAGCTCATACGTAGATGATTTCCACCCCTTTGCTGAAAGACCCGACTTTGAGACAAAAACGCGCTCACTAAATAGTTATATATGCAACACCTTTCAAGTTTTTCCACCTCTCGTAAGCTAGCATTCGCGTCCTCTAAAGGATCAGTTACCTTGCTTTTGTCTTACAACAAAGATTTTAACAAATTTCCAAATGTCTTTTTGAACAAAGAGCCTCTCACTCTTAATAAAAATCCAAAAACTTTATCGGTTACTTTTGACCCGACCCTATGCTTTGCAGCTCACTGCAAGAGCCCTGCTGACAAGGCTCGTCACAGAATAGACGTCATGAAAGCGTTAGCAGGTTCCTCTTCGGTTCAGTCTAAAGAAACCCTAACTTTAACTTACAAAGCCTTAATTCGCTCTTATTTAGCTCGAGCCTCCTCAACCTGGGCGCATGCCGCCAGTAAAACGTCGATTAATTACATGCAGGTCACCCAAAATCGACCCCTCCGTGTAATAATTGACTCAACTCTTATGAGCTCCACTGCCCACCTGCACACTGAAGTCGAGATCCTGAAGTCCCAAACCACGACTCTAACTTCTCGGTTTTTAATCTCCACATACCGTTTGCATCACTCACATCAATTTTATCACTCTTATTCCCCACCACGTCAAGTTAGACAACCCATTTTAATTGCTTTTAAAGGCAACACACGCCTTTTCAACCGACCAAAACCCGTCACAAAATCTTAACGACTCAGAAGAAGTTTCTACTTTCGTTTTTAAGCAGCAAAAATCCCTTCAAACAAAACCATACAAACCTCGTAACCAAGATCTTAGCAGAAACCCCTCCCTCAAAAGTCAATTGTATACCACCTCCAAGCATCGACCCCTCAGAACAGTTCCTTCTCAGAAGCACCCACTGTATGCTTTCCCAACTTCGGTTTGGTTACAGTCGGCTACCTCGCCCGCATATACAACCTATTTGTCTTTGAACTGTCTAGACAAAAGTTCCTTCCCACTCCGGAAGTGGTCGGAAGAAAAATCGTTTTGCCGTATATTGTACCTGAAGTCAGTTTTAGAGCACTGAACAGAAACGGCTTTTACTGAATTTTCTGGTCGAGTCATGCAGCATAGCAAAATCTGTTGCTAATTACTCGCTACCATTTTGGACCTTTTTTGCAAGTTGCAGCATCTGTATAGCTATGACTCGTGTGATACGGAAACCATTTTATGACATATTTTTTGATAATGATCCGAAATAGTTTTCCATATTTTTTTTTTCAAAGAAAGCTGGAAGTGGGTATGAAAACGCTCCCAAAAACACTATTCGTTGGTGAGTATGTTCAAAAATCAAAAGTTGATTTTCAAAGACTTGGCGGAAGTGCGCATCAAATCTCAGTAGTTTTTTTTGTGGTTCGGAAATTTTGCCTTAGATTTTAAAAATTTCATACAAAATGTCAAATTTAAGTCTTTTTCAAGAAAGTCGAAAACTCTTATAATCTTTTAAGCGCGATAACATGGTAACCGGTACCGCAACACATCACATCAAAAGACCTTTCGCAAAACTCGGCCTTGCCAAGTAGCGACTGCTTGCTTCGCTGCGGTTAAGTTCGGCACGAGCAATATAATGCCCGAGAATCAGTGTTTGTCGCTTATCTCGATTGTAGTAAAAAATAAGTTTAATTATTTATTTTTTATGAGTTGTCTCTTTCCTTAAATGTTGACAGTTGTCTTTTGTTGCCAATTGTCGTATTACGATTTCAACTATGCGGCAAAAGATTATTATTTGTCGTACTTTTTTGCCAAAGTCTGAACAAGCTTCTCCTGTCTCTTTACATCCTTAATCTTTCTACAAGTCAACCCTGTCTGTGGATTTGCCCTACGGCGTTCATAGGATTGCGGGTTCTCGCAATGCAATAGGAGGAAACCGGACGCGACCTCGACTATTATCCTATGAGCAGTCGTGGTCAAGTGGGTTAGGCACATCTCTCTTAACACGAGGATCATGCGTTCGAATCCCGCTTCGGTCACGGCTGGAGGGGTCCCAGTGTCATCAGCCTCCTCAAGGTGGGACCGGCTGCGGCAAAATGGATGACATCTCCCCCTCCCCCACGGTTGGTCCTGCACTGAGCAGGCCGGGGGCAAATAAAAAAAAAAAAAACCGGACGCGATGTGAGGAGGTCTTGGTTCTTTTATGCGACGACTGACCTGAGCCAGAGTGCCTGGCATACATCTTCCCAGGAGAAGCAGAGCAACTGCACGCCACTCCACGACTTCATTGCCACATAAAATTACTGCACACTCCAAAACACACCCGCAAAAACAATGCAACAACTCAACACCTGAAAAGACACAATGCTTATAGTCAAAATATGCCATTTTTTGGTAATTTTTGGAACCCCCGCCCCAGTTTTTGGACAAATTTTAGAACCCCCCCCCCCGAAAAATTGCAATCTTTACAATGTGCCACGCTCCCTATTAGACATTAACTGAATCCGATAAATAATAAAATTGGTTTAAAAAAATTGAAGCTTAAAAACTGGAGCTCAAATTTGTTTATTTAATAGGCATGAGATACGATGGTAAGTATCAAGTTTTTCTCAACTTAAGTAGTTCTTTTAACATACACATCGTTGCTTTTCTTTAAGCCAAGACCTTTTTCATTGGATCTTGACAACAGAACAATTACATTTTTCCCTATGACACCAAGTTGAGAATCCACCCATGAAGAGAACTATATCAAAGACGAAGCGAATGAGAAAGAATATTGTACCTAATAACGACCTTACTTGAGAAAAAGCGATGGTGGGACTATTTAGAAGGATCAAGGGCGGATCTAGGATTTTCTCGAGGGGAGGTTTCAAAAAATTTGTCGACCTTTTTTAGGTCGACCAAATTGATTTTCCAAGCTATCGCCCAAATCACTAAAAATACCTTGCTTTGGCCAACTTTTGCGCGCAGGCAAATTTTCGAACAAAACAGGCCAAAAAAAAGACGTTTTAGGCACTTTTTGGACAATTTTGACCCAAAAATTGTGTTTTTGCTCCCCCACATCTTGTTATGCTTCGAAACTATTATCGAATGAAAAAAATTGAGTAGTTTTTGAGAGTATCGAATATCTTCAGTTTTCAGTTAAAATAAAAATTTTAAGCTCAATTACGACTCCACATGTGAACTGCAATTATCGATCACTTTACAGGTTAAGTTTGTGATCAAATTTCAAATATGACATGGCACATGCTGTTAAAATGTGCAAGAGAATAGCACGCTTTGGCATTAAACTGCATCAATTATCATTATAATCATCTCCAGATACAAATGGTCAATCAAATTTCAAATTTATCTTTTGAAACATTTTCGAAAACATTGTTTAATTTCAAAAACATTGCAAATATTGTGGTATGTTGTGAACAGCGTGATACTACTGGAGTTTTCTTCGTTTTTAAGAATTTGGAATTTAAGATAAAAAATTAAAATCAGAAAAAATTCAGTGTTGGCAACACAGAAGTTTCTGGCCACTAACACATTTTGACAGAAAAAAATTTCTGGATTATCTAGGCGTTGTTTTTCGACGGAATAGACGATAGCGTGGATCAAATTAACATCCTTCCATACCCCGACCTAAATGCTCGAATCTGATTGACTCAAAATTTCCAATCAGAACCAAATTAACATCCCCCATGGCTTTGGGGGATGTTCACTTGCTCCGATAGCTTACTTATTAGTATAAATGCTTTTTCTTCCCATACCGAACAAGAACAAAGCCAATATTTTATAGATCTAAACATGCAAATAGATCTAAACGGGAAAACATACAAACAGATTTTTGTCGACACTGAAAAAAAGTTTGGAAATTTTTCGTTGCAGCTCGAACCACCACTGAAGGTACTTCAATATGATAAGTCAATTGATCTTGTCGCCCACCAGCGGATTTATGTGGGGGGGGGGGGGGGGGGGTTGCGGGGGGGGCGGACGCTATCTCCTCAGGAATTCGACCCCCTGCCGACCCAAAGAGTCCCCCCTTTGTACTATTTTGAGATATTCATATTCCATATTTGGTGACGGACCTTAAAAATTTTCTAAAGGCGCCATTATATTCTAATTTTTTTTTGGGGGGGGGGGGGGGGGGGAGCGTGCGCCGAAAACACGCAATTTTTTGGTCAAAATTTTCCAAAAATTTCCTAAAAACGCCTTTTTTGGACTTTTTTATTCAAAAACATTCCTGCGGCGCAGAAAATTTGGTCAAAGTGGGGTCTTAAGTGATTTAGGAAAGCTCAGAAAATCATCTGATCGACCTAATAAAAAGGTCGACAAAATTTTCGAAAATCCGCCTCGCCTTTGAGAAAATCCTAGATCCGCCCCTGTTGTCCCCACATGTATACTTTTATTACGTGCGTTTGCGAGGGGAAAACGAATCCAAAATCAAAACTCCTTCCCACACATTCCAAAGATCCGCACGAAACGATCAGGGCAAGATATCGAAATCTCATTACACTTCTAGTCATTTCAAAATTGGTCGGAACAATCTGTGCTTTTTATTGCGTCTAAAAAGTCACATTCCGTAAAACTTTCATTGATATTAAACTTCATTGAAATGAAAACGCCACTGACATTGATTGATCGAATTTGAGTCATAATTTAGAAGCAAAATGGTACACCGGTGACATATTGTCAGCTCAGCGGTAGTCAAAACTGTTCGATTCATTTTGAGATTTTTTCGACATACAATCTACTCGTGATCTTGTTAACTGTCATCGGAATAATAGTCGATGATCAACTAAACTGATAGCGAAAAAACAACCAGTTCAAAAACGATGGGCAATGGGAATTGAGAGAGCCTTTCATCTCCGCACCGCTTTTATATCTCTTTCTTTTTCATTTCCCCTTTAGAGGGTAGAGGCGGAGAAATCGGGAGGGTTTTTCTTGGATTTGTGAAGGGTGGGCGGTATTTTTCAAAAGATCAAAGGCTACTCCCGGGGCGCTGGTCGGTGGGTTGAATTGGTAAATCAATTAGTGCATTAGAGTCTATAGCAACTGCATTGGACGTGCATGGGGTGATGTATTGAGAGGCGGCTCTTTGATGTTGCCGCCTGCACCACTAAGCACAGTCAGTTCCCGTCAATATTTGGAGAGACGCACGACAGCTCGTTTGATTGACAGCTCCCAAAGGGAACTTCAAAGGAGCCGCCTAATCAGTGACAGTGACATGAACCGTCCCTCCTGCCACCAACAGCACCGCCACTACAATAGCAATTACAATTATACCACCACTACCACCCCCCTCTTTCTGTTCCGCTCCCTCCCTTATTTTACTTGCTTCTCTCTCTTTACTCAAATTCGAAAATATATCCTCTCAATTCAGTTGCTAGCTTTCAACTCAATTCCTTGTATCTTGTTTTACATCAACTGAAAAAAAAACAGATCCAAACCATCTTACAACCAAACTTGAGATTGAAATTCAAAGCTGGAAGGAATTTTAAGAACACCACAACTATTTCTCCGAATTTTCCGAAAGTTAAGTCCGGAAACCTTTACAACTTTATGATCTCAAAACTTACCACTAAGTAAAACGGTCACCAAAATCGGCGGTCACAACAAATTCGACTCCTGTCAATTTATAATCTCCATATAATATCCAAAACTATACCTACAACACTTCAACTAATAAACTCAGCCCCGTCAATCAAAACAACTCTTGCTAAACGTGGCAAGAGATATTCGCTTACAAATAGCTCTTCTTAACTTATCAAGACTCCAGTTAACTTTTGGTGACATTAGTCAGTCACGGAGTCCAAATTAGTCCAGTCGGATTAGAGCCGAGACTTATCGAGAATTACGGATTAAACTATCCGACACTTATCCTCCAGTAGCTGGAAAATTGGTGATCCAGGCAAACCTCACACGCTCAAATCGCACTTTCCAGATTTATCAGAAACTGTCAATTCCAATCGCTTCTTCAAACCTCTTCAATTATTACAACAATCATAAATCACTGATTCCGATCCAAACTTCAGTTCTCTATTGCTTCAGAAAATATTCAACTCTTCTTTTTGTTTTAGTCAAAACACATTGAGTGTTCGAAAGCAAAAACTATTCGATTTAAAAAATGTCTCTCAAAATAGCATTCCTAGTTGCTTTCATTGCTTCCTTTATTCCGGTCAACAGATCCTCGGCAATTACAAAACGAGATCCGAATGCAACTCCAGTCGAAATTTGGGCTCTGCAGGCATTTTCGATGTTGGACGCCTTAACATGCCGCCAACTGTACATTTTCGATGAGGATCTCTGCGACCGCATCAAGATCTCAACACATCGAACTCAGATGAACTTGTACCTCAGCAACGAGGGCAAATTGGGAAACTACACAGTTGCGTACCCGGACAACGGGTTCGAGCAAGATCCCAGACACTCAATGGTTCTTGGAATTGATCCATTCCCCGAACTTAGCATTCCGCACGTTGTCTTCATTTTCTTCTTGGATAAATTCTCTTCTAATCAATGTGAACAACGTTCGGGTCAGTTCTACAACAAATTCTGTCTGTATCTCGCTCAGAAGAAACAATGCGGACAGGACTTAAACCTCTACTGTCAGTTGAGATACTTGCCTCTCGTTTACGAAAACGGAGACCATAAAAAGTCTCAGCAATTCAAGTGTCACGAAGATGTTCTTGTTACGGCAACCTGTCCCAAACCAACCGAGTTAAACAAAAAAGAGCCTCTTTGTGTGCAACAACCCGATCACCCAGTCTGTCTGAAATCCAGGAAAACTAACCTTTGCCAGAATGACATCATATGCGACTACGGGTTCATAATTTCGGGCGGCTGGAACGAGATAAACGGACGGAAACAACTCGAAACTGGAGCTCTGGCAATGTACAAACAGCTCACTAAGCAAGGATTTCACGTTGACAGTCTAAGGCTCCTGGTGAATAACGCTACGAGTTACCGACGAGCTAAGAACCAGGAACCGGAGGTCGTCTGGGGTGCCCGAGACAGAGCCGAGATGCGAAGTAGCATCCGAAAGGTCTGCAATCGGGAGTTCTGCGCAGATACTGTTGTCATATACCTCTCAGGAGTGACAGCCGACGATGGGTCCCTTCTACTTTGGGATCTCAACCAGGACGGAGTCGTGAACAACAACGAGCGCTACTCCCCATTCCACCTACTCAAAGACACCGCCAACTGCAAAGCGAACAGGGTAATCCTCATCGTCGATTCCACGAACACAGAATCTCTCATCACAAAAATGTCGCAGTCTAAGGGCAAACACGACAACATGATTGTCATCGGAGCTGGCAGATTCGGACAATTACCAGACGATACTTTCGTTAAAGTTTTCACTGAGTTTTCCGGAATGCAGTTTTGCCTGGCGGAAGCACTAACGGATGTTGAACGACACAGCGAAATCGATCCATTTTTGATGCTTCCCGAAGGCAGCACCAATGTCAATGTGACTCTAACAGGAGCGACTTGTAGTCGACACAGTAATTTGCCGACTAAGACTTCCGGTTGTATGCAACTACCTTCAATGATGTGGAAATTATTCACATGAGCTCCCCGAAATAATCACACCAAACAAAATTCCAATGAAGAAACTTGTTGATGATTTTATACCTAAATACTTGTTCTGATATAGTTCTGTTCCAAGTTTCACTCAAGCAAATGTCTGAGTTTTATCTTTTAATTTTGTATCATAGAGCAAACTAATTGATAAATATACAATACATAATGGAAAAATACAGCAATTTAATTTAGATACATTTTCTACAAATTGTCTTCTTCCACAACACTTCCACAATTCATAGAAATTCCAATTCCGCGTGGAATTGAGCGATTTTTATTAATTTTAGCAGATGTCGATTTTTTGTCTGGGTCGGAACTCAAAAAATTCACCGCCTTTTAGTCAGTCAAAAAAAACTCAAAGCTGTACCAAATAACCAAGACGTACCACAATCATATAAGTTATTTTCAGCCTACACGATCATGGTATGAGGCATAGATAATTCCGATTATTGCACGAGCTAACGAAGATTAGAATGAGAATCATCAACGAATTGGGTAAAAAATTGAATCAAAATGGCGGTCGTGGTTAGTGTGTTTAATACGGAACCTCGCTATTTCGTGGATACCGTACTTCGGTTGCAATGCACATGCTTGCAGAAGATCTTAACAGCAGCCCAGAAAAATTTCCAGAACACATGGTATTGCGTCTAAGCATAACAGCAGATAGAAAAAACTGGAAAATGCGCGAAAATAAGTTGCATGGCTTTGATGGCAGCTTGGGATTAAGCACTTCATAAGTGTGTAAGCCAGCATCGATTTTAATTGAGTCAGCGAGGAAGAGCGGCGGCTGATGGCACTATCCGTACTCATACCGCTGCCATCCTACCTTAGCCTCGAGAGTAGCATACACCTGCTTCAATATGATAACGCTTGAAGTCAACATAAATATTCTTTCACAAGTACCGTTAATTTGTCACCGAAGTGGGCCAAGCGAGTCAAGTTGAAATGAACCACGCGCACATACGAACTTAGGTTCCAGAGAAGGCGCTTCCAAGAAGCGAACTGGCAAGCATACGTTTGTAAAATGCCTTCAATCCACACGCACAAACGGCAGACACAAGTCGCACATTTTATGCATAAAAAAAAAGCTTCTACGCAGAATAAAGCTTAAGTTCACAAAAAAATGCGAAATTATTGCAAATTTGAAACACTTTCTCTGACGCCCTAAGAACTAGTGTTTGCTTCGAAATGCTCGCTCAAACTTGACAGTTTTACATGATGACTTTCTTAGAACTCATTAGATACAAAAACAATAAATAAATCAACATTCGCCCCGGTTGTTTAGTAATTTCAAGTTTCTCAAAAACATCTGAAATCGCAGAAACAAGCCTGACAGAAAGTAACTAGTTGCCTCGCAATTATTTCAAGAAAAAATATCGAAAATCAGACTTCAAAAAACATTTCTTTTCAAATTGGAACGTGAAATCTACTGGTTTTAGTATTAGTATACGACCTTTAAATGCATGATGCAAACAGATTTCACCCGACAAATTTTGCCCTATTATTTCATAAATTATTAAACCATCAGCTGTCCCATTGATTGATTAAACTTGCATTTGTTACTCCATTAATTAGGAAGGTTGAATGTACTCATACAATCGGGCTGATACGCGTTGCACGCTTGCCAGTTCCGGAACAAGAGCTTTTATTGAAAACGAATGGCGGTTACTGGCAGATAACGCCAACCCGTACCCACCGACAGTTCAACGGGAAGTAAATTTTTGCAAATGGACGAAACCTGCTAGAAACCAAAACAGCGCGCAAGCTTTCAATTTGGTCTGAAATGTAACGAGATCTGAAAAGAAGGAAAAAATCTGCGCTAGCAATTCAAAACATTAATGAGCCTTCCTTATATTTTAAAGTAAAAAAAATCATCTAAAATTAAGCGGGAAACAAAAAGACTTTAATTTAGTTCCTTCCAACTCGTTTGAAAGGTCGGAACAAAAAACCTTGTTTGATTTGAATTATTCGAACTTAAACTTTGAGTCTCACATAAAAAATCAGAGAACCACTTTACTGGTGAACAAGCAATAATTAGCTTTAAGTTCAGAGGAAGCTAAAAATAAGGATGAGAGGTAAGCTCTCGTGAAGAACAAAAAGACTTTGACGGATCATGTTCCTTTCAACCAAACATCTGCTTCTTGGATGGAGAACCGAGTACCAGTCAAATTCAAGCGCCTATTCATTTATCAATACGCCAGATGATATGTACAATCGGATTAGCCTCAAATACAAAACATAGCTAAATACTTCCAATCGAATTAGTTCAAAAATACATTCAAATCCCTCGGCCAACAGACGTCTGCATTTTTGAGGACTCTTTCACTGTAGGTAGCCATTTCACCGGCAGTTCCTGCTACTTACCATTACATTAACAAACGCCTCTTGAGAAAAAAAACCATATTTGATCCTGCACTGTAGAATACTCAAACGATTCGATGTTCAACGTAGCAAGAGGGGAAACTAAGCCAACAGAAAGAAGGTAAGAAAAGTATCTATTAACTAATTAAAAATTTGTAACAAGAGGGAATTAAAGCCAAATTTGAAAATGAGAACTTACTTATGAAATCCACTTTTTTTCTAAAACGATAATTCTATTTTCAAAAATGATGATCCCCCAATATGGGATGCTCATCGATGCTCCTCCAATATGGGACTATGTTAGTAACATTACTTTCTTTACACCTATTTTTTTATTTTATATTTATATATTATTGTAGCAAAATGGACAAAGAAAATAGGACTTCTGCGAAAGCCGCGAACAAATTGAAGGAGATCCGCGCTCGAAAGTGGGAGGCAGTGTCCAAGGATCTCAGCGACTGGGGAGTTCCCGTTAAAAACTGCCAGAGATATATATCTGATTACGGTCAGTTCTCTTCAATAATCATAGACAAATAGGTCTACAATAGGAAAAAACATATGAAGATTGTGGGTGTCAAGATTTTTGAGAAACTGCAGTCGATACAGACGGTGAACCCTTCATCACAGAAGGAACGAAAGGCTAAATTCTTTAGTGCGCCAATCACAATTCTGTTGTCAACAATTGGAAAAAATTAAGCCAGGAAAACAGTCAATTGTGGAAATTTTAAAAGGCGTCGATTCGTTGAGATCTTAAGCGCATTTGGTCCTTCTGTCATTCGACCGTAAAAAACCTACTGGAATAAATTTTTACAAAGGCAATGGAAAATTTCGCATATCTTTGCAAACCAAACTCCAATCAAAATAAAATATAAGGTAAAATGAAATGAATTCAAACGTGAAAATATCGGAGGTTGTTAACTAGCTTCCTAATATACACAGCGTTAAAAAAAATCGATTTTAAAAATCTATATTCATTATCAGAAAAAGTTTACTTTCGTATGAATGTTTCTTATAATTTAATATCACAAAACCGCTCATACCAACAAACCCTGTTTAAAAGAAGCCAGTCGATACGATGTAATCAAATGCAAAAGCCCAAAACTGCAACACGTTTCACAGAAAAGCATTTAAAAAGCAGAAATGACATATCTTATAAACTAAATAGAAAAAAAAATGCCCAATAATTCTGTTCTGTTGTTACAGGTACAATTATTTAGTAGAAACCGAAAACAAATCCAAGAAAAATATTGAAAAAAAATTTCAATATGAAAAATCAAAGTTTTGCACATCAGGTAATCCGTCTTTCGGCAAAATTTCACACAAAGCGAAGATACGCAAACACTATCGAGAACACGACAAAAAGCAGCTCTATAAAAAGCAAAAAGAAAAAGTAGAAATGAGCCCCGAATTAGCAAAAGTTAGACTACGTCTGAGATACTAACCTGCGACTTAGAGATTAAGAGTCTCACACCTAACCAGTCAGCCACGGAAGCTTGATACGTAATAGCCAACTACTAGTCATAAAAAACAGAGCAGATGCTATTTCCAATGCTACAGTGAAAAATCTAGATAAGTGAACACTTTTAATGGACCTTTTTATTTGCGAGTTAGTTTAGAAAAAAGAAGGTTCGTAACAATACACCAAGCTGACGCTTGTGTATAGAAGTAAGAACATTAAAAACACAACAACCAAATTAGGTTACGAAATAACAATAGTACACGCTATAATACGAAATAATACAATTACACAGAGATGAACCGGAGGTTTGTACTTCTTGAGATACAAAAAAAAACAAAGCGTTACAAGCTAGCCGAAAAGAGATGAGATGTTGAAAAAAACATCTGCCGAAACTTTCAAACCATTAACTCGAATGAAGCTCTATTTCGTAAACATAGCCAACCGACTGCTGAAAAAGTGTCAATGGAGGACTCAAAGAAAAATGATAAAATTAATCAAAACAAATCCCGGCCATTGGGTTTCAATGAAAAAAATATCACCTTAAAGATCATTGAAGTTCAAGAATCTTTGATGAATGAACTTTCTTGATAAAATTAACGTAAGTTGAAAAGCTAATGTACCTTCCATTTAGCAAACGAATATCAATTGAAAACCAAATGAATATCAATTGAATTATAATTGCAAGTTACTGGGCAGCACAAAATTTAACGACCAGTTTTATTGAAAGAAACAAAAAATATATATTTTTTTGCTTTTTTCAAATTGAGTTGCTTTTTGTGTGTGGTTATTTAGTCCATTTGTTTTTATTAGTTTTCTACTGAGTGCACTTAGGTTAAATAAAAGAAATTCCTTGATTTCCTCTCTTAAAGTTGAGTGAATGTAAAAACTTTTGCTTTTGTCGATCGGCGCAAGACTGCTCTGGATAATGATATCACTCAACTTGGGTCCAGATGTGACGCTTTCAAATAGTGGACGCGACAGATAGCATCAGATGTCTGCAAATGGCACAACCTCAACCTCCCGACAACAGGGAGCGCCGATTGCTCGCGAAGCCCGGGTTTTTGGGTTCAGGGCGTCGAAACCTGCCAGGCTGTTCCGTCTAATCACTCAACTTATTCGGATGATTTATAGTGATGCCAGAATTGCGTGGAAAAAATTGAGCTCCAGAATATAAAGTTCATCGCCACTTTCACTGGTCGGAATAGAAAAAATCAAATAACAAACCGCGAAAAAGTAACTTGGAGCGAGAATTTTTAAACTTATTCCAGAAAAAACGCACAGCCTAAATGAATACCTTCACAATGTTCCTTGACAAAAAAAAACATTTCGAGAAAGACACAGCAAGCGATAAATTATGATTGCAACAACATTTAGCAAGCGTAACTATGCCGACTATCTTTTGGTAGTCGCCTGTTCAGCCGAAAAAATGATGTTATGAAAAGTTTGGAGTTATGAAGTTTGTTCCCCTCAGGCCTTTCTCGTTCTAAGCATTGTACAAGCATAGTCGTTTTAAGCATTGATTTTATTATGAAGTAGGTTTTGAAGCGCGTAACCTCTCTTTGAAGCGCGCAAATTCTGTAACTAACGATTTTCACGTGAAAAAAAATATTACCCGGATCTAAAATCTTGTAATCAATTGCCAGGGTAATTAGACACATTGTTTTAACAGTTCTACATAAATTCGGCAATCAGCAGACATTAAATTCTACAAAGATGTATGAGGGAGAGCATCAGATATGCTGACAGCAGAAAATGCAAAAATTTCAAAAAAACAGCTTTCTATGACTTTTGGAATTTGAAGTCATTAATCATTTTTATTGGTTTAAGATAGTGAAATGAGCTACTTTAGTTGAAAAAAGGGAATTGACCAATTGGCATGGCAGTACGCTTGCCATCTTGGGTTTGTAATCATGACATGCAAAACTAAATTGCTATCTTTGATAACTTTATTATATTTAATAAGTTTTTTGGCTTCAGGGAAAGACAAGATGATAGAGATGTGTGAGTGCTTCAAAATATTTGACCATACCGAGACAGGCTACATCAGTAGACCCGAGATGGCACTCGTCAGCAACTGTCTCGGCAAGGCGTGGAGTCGCAATTTCATTCAGCGCATGCTACAAAACTGCGACAAAAATGGTTAATTTATTTGCATCAGATCAACTTAAAATCTCATCTACCTTCTTAGATTTTCCACTCCACTCAAAACTGCTTAGCGCTGCGTATCAACTACTCGATTTTGATTGACTAAAAATTTCAAATAAAACAAAAGTTAACATTCTCTCTCCTAGAACGCTTTAGGGGGCGTCAATTTGGTCCTTTGCATCAATTTCTCATCTTGTATTTTCAGCATGTAAGATAACTAGCGCGTAGCGCACCTTTGGTGATTTCTAATTTTGACAACTCATGAAAAAACCGCATATATTGGAAATACGATCTGCATCCTTTGGGTGTACCTTGAAAGCACCCAATTAGAGGGTTGGTAATTTCAAATTTTGTTAGTTTTTTTATTCAAGCTTTCTTTATTCAAATTTTGAAAAACCATAAAACTTAGTGAATTTTTTTGTTCTTTGAAATTTTTTTTAACTTATATAAAAAATGTCACATCTCGGAAACTGAAAGCAATTGAGCAGTCGCATTTGGACGCAAGATTTGCAGCTCTTGAGAGTAATCTCACAGTACCCAACTACAGCGTTGGAAATTTCAAAATTAAGTTTTTTAAATTTTTTTGAAAAAAACCATAAGAACGCCATTTCTCAAAAATTACAAAAATTTGAGAAGAAATACTTCGAGATATGACTCGCAACCCCTGAGAGTACTATAACAGCCCCCAACTACAGGGTTAGGAACTTCAAACTTTGAAAAAAAATTAAATTTTGAAAAAAAAAATTGAGCAGTCACATTTGGAGGCGAAATTCGCAACCCCTGGGAGTTCCTTTACAGAGCCTCAAACTTGTGGAATTTTTTATATCTAAGTTCTTTGAACGTTTAAAAAAATGACCTAAACGTCACATCTTGGAAACTAAAAGCTTTTGAGCAGTCGCAATTGGACGCAAAAATTGCAACTTAGAACTCCTGAGAGTACCCTCACAGAACCCAACTGAAAGGATGGGAATTTCAAACCTTTTGAAACTTATCTAAAAAATTAAAAGAAATTATGAAACACGTCATATATCAAAAACTACAAGGGTTGTAAGCAGTCAATTTTGGAGGAACAATTCGCAACCCCTGGTAGTACCCTGACAGAGCTTCACTATGAAGATGAAAACAACAAATTTTTTGAAATTTTTTATATCTAATTTTTTTGAACATTTTAAAAAAGACCTAATAAACGTCACACCTCGGAAACTAACAGCATTTGAGCAGTTGCAGTTGCACGCAAAATTTGCAATTTAGAACTGGTGATAGTACCCTCTCAGAACCCAACTACAAGGGTGGGAATTTCAAATCTTGATTTTTTAAAAGATAAGTTTTCTGAAACATTGAAACAAATCATAAACACGTCATATCTCGAAAACTGCAAGGATTTGAACAGTCATATTTGGAGGCAATTTCGCAATCCTTGAGAGTACTCTGACAGCGCCCCACTACAGGGTTACTAATTTCAAATTTTGTGAATTTTTTTTCATTAGAGTTTTCTGAAAAATCACAGAAATTCGTCGTATCTCGTAAGCTAAGAAGATTTAGGCATTCATAATTGACAGCCCAGACAGCATCCCACTATTGGGTTGCTAATTTGAACTCGGTAAATGAACACTGAATTGAAAATGGAAAATCGAAAAAATATATATTAACCATGGCAATATGCGATATAGCTGAAATTTGCAAAAACTCTTTCGTTTAATATGCAAAAATTATACGTTGAAAAAGCTTAAAGATGGCGAGATAGTGAAGACCGCATTTAAATATATTAGGGATAAAAATAAGCCCCGAAAAAATAGTTTGGAAAGATTTGAGATAATTCCATCAAATTTATTGTCTTTCAATTACTTCGAAATTAAAAACAAAAAACTGACGTAAATTAGTGGTAAGCTTCACTCATTACTAACAAAATTAATGAGAGCCTTCTTTTCATGAGAGTCTTCCTTCTCATTTTGTTTGTCGTTAGTCTTTACATTGGCGGATTCAAAGGGATAGAACAGTGTCTTTAGAACTCAAAATTTCATAACTGTTTTCTTAAGTCCCCCTCTGTTCAGGTGACGCAGTTCTCGATTTCATGGAATTCGTTGAGTTGTACATTAATCACGAATCAGAATTCCAGAGCCTTCTCAATGATCTCAAGGTTGCCTTCGAGGTTATGGACACCGATCAAAGTGGTTACCTGTCGCCAGAAGAACTCAGGTAACTATCTGCATGTATGCTGGTGATAAAGTTTTGAGTTAATACTTTTCTTTCAAGTTTTAAATTTCAGGTTAACTGTTTTAGGATAGTTATGGACAAAATTGGACGGCCTATGTCAGATGAAGAGACAGCTCATTTTCTACTGATAGCAGACAAAAACGGAGACGGTGAAATTGATTTTGTAGAATTTGCTAAATTAATCATTAAATAATTTTATGAATGCATCAGAAATTAATTATTTCAAAAAAAATTCCAAAAACACAGCCTATTGTTTTTAATACAATCATGACATTGAAGTAAGAACCCAGCCAAATTGCACTATTTGACTCCCAGGATAAATAACTCTCGCGACAATTATATGGCTTGGTTTTTTCTCAATACTATTTGTGAAAATTGCCATCGCTGAATAATTCTCAAAATTTGTATGAATTTGCTATGCTAAAGAAGTGTCCAATCAGCAGCAGCTAGACAACAAGCATCGAATACAGAGGCAAAGCCGAGCTTCGCACCACTTACATATTTTACAAGAAAGCCGCTACGTCGAAAAAATTCAAAAAGGTCGAAAAAAACTATATCTAACTCCAACTCGACAGAATAAATAAAAAGCAAGAAAATTTAACAATCGGTAAGAACGCAGAAAATCAGAAAGCAGAAACCTATAAACCAAGAAGAAACTTGAAAAAACAACAGAAAAAAACTAATCAACCCCTCATAACACACACACGAACAATCTTTTATAAGAATTTCAAAATAAATGTTAACGTTTTTGAAGAAATTTTTGCTAAAAAGTAAATTTCAAACGTTTTCGCAACTATGTGCATCGTCAGGATTTTTACAATAAACTACTCTAAATGACGATAAAACATCAATTTACAAATGTTATTTACAATAAATCACATACAATTTGGTTCTAAACCATCATGATAAAAAATTAGCCAATCACAGTTGACCTCTAAATTACTATTAAGATTAAAATACTTTTAACCTCTAAAATTAATTAAACATTTTAAAATTAATTTGTCTGGAAGTTTCTGAGTCATAATTTCGATTTAGACATGTACGTTTTGAATAAAAAACCAAAAATATTTTGGGACTAAATTTTCAGTGTTAACTCCCTGCTCCTAAACTCATCGCGCGTGTTCAAGCCCGGTTTCTCTTTCCTGATATGTATTGCCTCTAGTGTTAGCAATTTTGTTTGGTTGTTTGACCTATCTATAATTTCCCAACTAAGATCTGCGCTATTTCCCTCAAGTTGGCATTGCTGAAGGTGGAGGCCTACCGGTGAGTCTGCTTTCCTATGTTCCTCAATTCTAGTGGTCAAATGTCGAACAGTTTGTCCGACATAGGTGGAAGTGCATCCACTACATGACAGTTTATAAACCACTCTTGACTTGAGGTCATTAGAAAATGCTGACTTCAGTGATGGTAAACATGATTGTAGTTTTCTTGTGGTGAAAACCACTTGAACGTTCGTTAATTTTCGTAACCTGTTAGCAAAATATTGGCTCTGGTTACCTCTATATTGCACCATCAGCATTGGGGGCTTTTCATCCTTTGGTGATTGAACTGACAAACCCCTGTCACTATCCAGGGGCTTGCCTTTACCCTCGATGATCTTGCACAAGGCGTCTGAAGCCACCTTTGCGGACCAATTTTCAGGGTACTGATTTGTCAGCCATTGCGCCCTATTAGTTTCCATAGCCTTATCAAATTGCTCCCAGCTAGATGTACTCCTAAAAACCCTGTGTACAGTGCCTTGGATAACACTACGCTTATACTGAGTTGGGGCGCAGCTTCTATAGTTCAGTATAGTCCCTGTATCTGTTGGTTTTTGATACCAACTGCAAGTTACACGCCTATCCTGCGATATATTTATGTTCAAATCCAGGAACGGCAAATTCCCCTCCGAATTAGTTTTCTCTAGAGTGAACTGCAAATTTGGATGAAGAGAATTGGCGGCATCGAGAAGACAACTCGGCTCCCCTCTGACTGTTCTAACAATGTCATCCACATACCTGAGGAACAATTTCACCTGGGGAGTATCCTTCTCCTTGTTCTTAGCTCGGCAGCAGCTTTCACAGTACCAGACTATCTCGGTTATTGATGCGTATACGTCATCGGATATTTTTCCGCATTTTAGATGATACCAGTTTCGGCAACTCTCGCATTCAACCCCCTTTGATCTATATGTGACTTTCCTGCTGCAACATGGGCACAAGCCGTTTTTGTCATTAATTTGCTGTACCCCCGTTCCCACCGGTATTTGTTGTCGTAGAGCAAATTCGTATTCTTTCAGCCATAAGTTTGCCAGAATTACAGCGAGGGACGCTCCCATTGCTAAACCATCAACTTGTACATACCATGAATCATTACACTTGAAATATACTTTGCTGACCGCCATATTCAAAAGCCTTTTCATGGTTGCTCTTTGAATTTCAGGAGGAGACTCCTGGCTGTACAGCTTCTGTAAAGCAATTTCAATTGCCTCCTTCAGGGGAACGTTGGTGTACAAACTTTTCACATCAAGAGATATTATGGTTTCATCCGGATCTAGAGCAATGTTTTCTATTTTTTCTCTAGCCTCTTTAGTATTGGTTTCTATATTTGCTCCATCGATGTTGTCAAAAAACTTCGCAAGCATTTTGTTAAGATTCTCATACGAGCTGCCGGGAAGTGATAGTACAGGTCGTAGGGGTGTCTCATCCTTGTGTACCTTAGCTAAACCGTACAAACGGGCGGGTTGCCCCCCTGTTGATCGTATCTTAGAATATAACTGATCACTTATCTCGTCTCTTTTGTTCATGGCTAGTAACTCTTTGTTAAGTTCTTTCTCAATTTTCAGTATCACCTCATCAGTGGTTGCATCTTTTTTCACAAACTGAGCAGATTGCAACAAGGATTCCAGCTTTGATTCATATGTTTGTTTCCTCATTATGCAAAAACCAACCCCCTTATCAAAAGGCACAGCCAGCAACCCATTATCTTTGAGATATTTCCTCGTTTTTTCAACGGCTTTGTCTCTTGGGGTTTGCCGTACGTTTTTTGCATATGCCTTTGCCGCGGCTTCTATTTCACATAACGTTTCACCAGATGTTTTTTGATTTTTCAATTGTGAGAGGAAAATGTCGATATCCGCCAAAAAATGTGTTTCGTTAAATTTGTCTCTAATTGGATGCTTGGGGCCCATTGATAGCACTTCATATACCCATTCAGGCAGTTCAATATTATCAAGTACCCTAACTGATCGCTCATTTCTCCCCCCAAGAGGTTTATCTTGTCTCTCGGACAGTTTTTCTAACTTTTTTCTATGGTTTTCTGATGTTGTCTTTAAGCTTGCCTCAACTTGCCGCCTCACGAATCGGAAAATGGATGCCCACCACTGTTTGTCAATTTCTTTTTGCACCAGTGATCTCGCTTTCCTTAGCATCTCCTCGTACCTTTTCCTATCCTCATTTGCCCTAGAAGTTTCAGTCCTTAGTAGTTTCAATTGAAAATTATGCACAGCTTGGTCCGAAAAAACCCCGTTCTCGGGGACCCTAAACTTCAAAAAGTCCGGTATTAGATCGTTTTTCAGACATTTTCTCAGAAACTTCAGTCTATGTACAGATACTTGAACTTTTTTAAAGAATTTTAAATAGTCTAACACAATTTTCCAAGTTAGTTTCCTTTTCAAAATTTGTCTGAGCCAAACAGCAGGCAAAAGTACTGTGGTCATTGTTTTGCAGGCCACGAGTAATGAAACTCACAAGGCACAAAGCAAAACAAATCACACTCTTCTCACCCCTGTCTTTGAAGCGCAGACACTTCCTCTGCCCTCAGCTTCTGCTCACGTCTTGCTTTCGCCTTCCTCCTTGTCTGTGACGGTCTCTGTTGTTTGCCCCTGATATTGCCAATCAGCTCTGACAGCCTTTCTTTGTGTGCCACTACCAATCGCAGAGATTTCAGCTCCAAATCAGCACTCTGGTGCAGCTTCAAATATTCCTTGAGCTGCTCCGGGTTGTTTTGCTTGCTCTTGGAGAGTAGTCGTTTTGTAGCTGGAATAATGAGCACCCCTGTGCCGAGAAGTTGACTAAACAAGTCGGGCGTTCCTTCCCTTCTGCAATAAACGATCGCCAATATCTGCTGCTTCTTCGTCTTCAAATAGTTTGTCAGCTCCTCGACACCAGCTGGGCGATAGTTGTTTGTTCTGTGGCTGCTAATGGTGTTGTTCACCACGTCGTGCCACACAACCACTTTTTTCTCCTTCAGTGGACTGTCTTCGAGTAGTCGTCGGAGGTTCTTTCCTTGGTTCAGCAAGTTGTTATTAAGGGATAGGCCAGGAATTGCTGTAACAAGGCTCTCGTATTGCTTTTTTTCCCCTGTGTTAAGGGTGTTGATGCTGTGGAACAGGGAGCTAGCTGCTACAATATGAAACATTTCGGTAACTCAAATAAAAATCGGCCATTTTTTACGTATCGATAAAAAAAACACTATAAAAATTCTCATTACATTGATGAAAATCATTAAAAATTTTTATACTGGCCCTTTAATGGGAAAACAGTTGGAATTTCAAGCTCTTCGCTTTTTGGTTTATCACGAATTTACAAGTAAAATTGAAGAAATTTTTGCTAAAAAGTAAATTTCAAACGTTTTCGCAACTATGTGCATCGTCAGGATTTTTACAATAAACTACTCTAAATGACGATAAAACATCAATTTACAAATGTTATTTACAATAAATCACATACAATTTGGTTCTAAACCATCATGATAAAAAATTAGCCAATCACAGTTGACCTCTAAATTACTATTAAGATTAAAATACTTTTAACCTCTAAAATTAATTAAACATTTTAAAATTAATTTGTCTGGATATTTCTGAGTCATAATTTCGATTTAGACATGTACGTTTTGAATAAAAAACCAAAAATATTTGCTTGAACACGCGCGATGAGTTTAGGAGCAGGGAGTTAACACTGAAAATTTAGTCCCAAAATATTTTTGGTTTTTTATTCAAAACGTACATGTCTAAATCGAAATTATGACTCAGAAACTTCCAGACAAATTAATTTTAAAATGTTTAATTAATTTTAGAGGTTAAAAGTATTTTAATCTTAATAGTAATTTAGAGGTCAACTGTGATTGGCTAATTTTTTATCATGATGGTTTAGAACCAAATTGTATGTGATTTATTGTAAATAACATTTGTAAATTGATGTTTTATCGTCATTTAGAGTAGTTTATTGTAAAAATCCTGACGATGCACATAGTTGCGAAAACGTTTGAAATTTACTTTTTAGCAAAAATTTCTTCAATTTTACTTGTTAACGTTTTTATAATAATTTTCATAAATGTTAACGTTTTCGCGCATTTTTGTGCATCATCAGGATTTAATTTTATACAATATTTACATAACGATCAATGATCTGAAAAAATGGCAAACATATGTAACAATTCTCCAAAACTTTTTGACCTATCAAAATTAAACAACTGTAATTACATAATAAATTACGCAATC